TAAGTAATGGCTTAGTAACCTTGTCATTGTTTTCAGTGTTTGCAAATTGTATGCATCTCTTCCTAATTTTGTCCTGCTAAATCCATATAGCCTCTGTATCAGAGACATACTTTACTTGCAGAAATAAATATAAAAGGGGAAAGGCTGGTATTTGATAACTACTTTCCATTATGTGGTATTTTCTCCCAGCCATTTAAGTTCATAATCGGCTTCTATTTCCTCATCTCTTTTATATATCTCAGTCTATTGAAATTTTCAAAGTTGCAAAGGCAGCTTCCGTCCTTATATCTCTTAGCATTTATTTTGCTTCTAAAACTACCTGTGATTACCAGAAGACATAATAGTGGACTTCCCAAGATCTAAGGCCACACATAGAGGTAGTCAATGATGAACTTCATGAATTTCTCTCCAGTTGACAGCATACGGACAGGAGATAGTAGCACCTGTCTTAATGAGCAAGGTGAGAATGGCAGAGCCAGAACCAGCAGGGCTTATCCATCTCCTCACAGAGAATCTATTTTGAGATCTTCAGATCAGATGCATCAGCCCATATGCTACCTAATTAGCAGGGGTCAGGCGTTTTTCTCTAAGCCACATTCTCAGGAGCCAATAGGATGCAAATAATTACAAAGTATATTATTCCAGTGAACAACCTTCATATTGTGATCAAAAATGAAATAACAGCAAGATTGCTACATTATAATTTTTATTTAATCTAACAAAATATTTTCAAAATAGCGACTGCTATATTTTTTTATTTTTCAAAATAATGCAGGACATTTGTGACAATTTCAAATCAAGTATTTTATTATGGAGTTAAGGGGTTGAAGGTGGTAGCATAGCCTGACATTTCTTTTCTTTGAGACCCAGTCTCCATGGCTCCATGGTAATCTTGCTGAGTCAGTGTATTTTAGATAGAGTCCATGACAGCTATCTGGCCCAAGGAGTAGGCACGCTACCTATAGCACATGGTCAATCTGATGGTCCTGCCCCTTCTGCACTCTGAAGTTTACTGAAAATGGCCAAATGAGCTCAGCTAGACCAACCTGAATCCTCTCTCTATTTTTTCCAGGTCTAGCCACACCAACTATGCAATCATTAGTTTTTTAACAGAAATATAGGTTAGCAATTTTCAAAACTAGATTAAGTTATTAGGATGATATATACAAACTAAATATACAACGTTGTCTGCATTTTTGTAAGTCTCTGCTTATTATTATGAACACTTGTATTACTTCATTTGTTTCTTCCATGAGCTTCTATTATTAGAGAAACCTAGAATCTTATTAGAAGGAAGAGGAGTCTGGTCAGTCTTCTCCAGTGATGGGCAGGCTTACTAGAAATTTCTATATAAAAAATTAGAGTATTTTTTTGAAGATTGATCAAATTAAATTGTATCACAATTCTTTTTATTTTTTTTTTAAGTCATTACCAGCCATACAATTGGAGAAAGAAGTGTTTATAGCATTTTATACATTTAACTCATGTCATTTTCTAAAGTTAACAGATATTAGAACATTGATTTTTTTATAATAATTATGCTGTATTACTGTATTTATTTTTCTGGGAGTGTAGATGCAGCAGAGTATTAAAAGGTTTTGAATATCTGTTAGACAATCTGAATATTGAATTAAAAGAAACATTTTAATTTATATGTTTAAAAAAGTAAAAGTAAAGGTAAAATTAAAATTTGATTGACTTCAAAGTATTTCCCACAAGGACAAATTAGACATAAAATATTTTAAAGCATAACAGTTAAGATACTATAATCACCTTAATTATTTCAGTTAAAAATATGTTTTTAATGAAATATAATTGAAATATACTTTATGTAAGTTTAAGGAGTACAAATGTGATTTAAATATATTTATATATTATAATATGATTAATACAATAACATTAGCTAACGTCTTTATCATGTCATGTTTATCATTTTTAAAAAGACAATTTTTTAAAAAAATATTAATTTTTAGAGAGAAAAAGGAAGGGATGGGGAGAGAGAGAAACATTGATGTGAGAGCTAAATGTTGATCAGCTGCTCCTGAATGCCCCCTACCAGGGATCTAGCCTGCAACCCAGGCATGTGTCCTGACCAGAAATTGAACCAGCAACCTTTTGGTGCACAGGATGATGCTCCACCAACCTAGCCACACTGGCCAGGGCATTCATTTATTTTTGTGTTGAAAACAGTTAAGATTTAGTTCTAGCAACTTTCAAGTTAATAATACAGCATTGTTTACTATAATCACTATGTAGACATTAAATCTCCAGAACTTACTGTTCCACCAATTGTAAGTTTATACCCTTAAACAACTTCTACCAATCCCTGAGCCACCAGCCCCTGGTATTCATTCTGCTGTTAGTTTTTACAAATTCAGTTGTGTGCGTGCTTTTAGATTCCACATAGAAGTGAGATCATACAGTATTGATTCCTCTTTTCTGTTTTTTGTTCTAACTTACCTAACTTAGCATAAGATCTTTAAGATCCATCTACATTGTCACAAATGACAAAATATCCTTACTCATGGCTGAATTATATATATATATATATATATATATATATATATATATATATATATATATAATTTATATATACTAGTGGCCCGGTGCACAAAATTCATACATTGTGGGGGGGTCCCTTCAAAGCCTGCCCCCTCTCCAGTCCAGGACCCCTCGGGGAATGTCCAACTGCTGGTTTAGGCCCTATCCCTGGGGTTGGGTCTAAACCGGCAGTCAGACATCCCTCTCACAATCCTGTACCGCTAGCTCCTAATTGCTCACCTGCCTGATGGCCAGGTTGCCCCTAACTTCCCCCCCTGCCAGCCTGATCACCCCTAACCACCTCTGCCTGCTGGCCAGATCGCCCTCAACTGCCCCCTCCCTGCCAGCCTGGTCACCCCCATCTTCTCCCCTGCCAGCCTAGTTTATCCCCAACTGCCCCCCTGCCAGCCTGGTCACCCCCTACTGCTCCCCTGCTGGCCTGGTCCTAGGCAACCATCTTGTGAGGACATGATGGTTGAATTGCATATTACCTCATATATATATATTCAAATAAAAGAACAGTGTTATTATATGACAGATATATATATAAAATAACATATATATATATATATATATATATATATATATATTTATTTTTATCCATTCACTTCTTTTTTAAAAAATATATTTTATTGATTTTTAACAGAGAGGAAGGGAGAAAAACAGAGTCAGAAACATTGATGAGAGAGAAACACCTATCAGCTGCCTCCTGCACACCTCCCACTGGGGATGTGCCTGCAACCAAGGCACATGCCCCTGACCAGAATCGAACCCAGGAACCTTCAGTCCGCAGACCAACACTCTATCCACTGAGCCAAACCACCTAGGGCTCCATTCACTTATTGATGAATACTTAAGTTGTTTCCATATCTTAACTATTGTAAATAATACTGCAATGAACATGGGTGCATATATCTTTTTGAGTTAGTGATTTCACTTTTTAAAAATAAACACTCAAGAATGGAGTTGCTGAAATATATAGTTGTTCTTTTTAAAAAAAATTTTGAGGAATCACCATACTGGTTTCCACAGGGGCTATACCAATTTACTGTCCCACCCACAATACAGGGTTTGTTTTTTCTTTTTTTTTTCTTTTTTTATATATTTTTATTGATTTTGTACAGAGAGGAAGGGAGAGAGATAGAGAGCTAGAAACATTGATGAGAGAGAGTCATCGATCAGCTGCCTCTTGCACACCCCCTACTGGGGATATGCCCGCAACCAAGGTACATGCCCTTGACCCGAATCGAACCCGGGTCCCTTCAGTCCCCAAGCCGACGCTCTATCCATTGAGCCAAACCGGTCTCGGCCAGGGTTTGTTTTTTCTACATCCTAACCTATATTTATCTCTTGTTCCTCACTAACATATGGGAAGTGATCACTCATTGTGGCTTAATTTCCCTGGAGGTTAGTGATGTTGAACACCTTTTCATATACCATATGTATGTCTTTTGTGGAAAAAAATGTCTAGTAGGTCTTTTGCCACTTTTAAATTGGATTATTATTTTTTTTTGCTATTTACATGTATAAGTTCTTTACTTATTTTTTATATTAGTCCCCTACAAGATAATATGGTTTATGAATATTTCCTTCCCTTTTATGGCTTATCTTTTAATTTTTTTAATTTTCTTTGCTGTGCAGAAGTTTTTTACTTTACATTTTTGACAATTTTTTTGCCAAAGTAATTTTATATGCTAGCAGGAGAGTGGGGAAAAAACACATAATTTAGGGAGTACACCATAATTGCCTTTTACACAATAAAAATATCTAATATTTACTAAATCACTATAGTATACTTTTATTGTTATTTTCCTTTTTTTTCTTTCTAAATATATTTTATTGATTTTTTTTTTACAGAGAGGAAGAGGGACAGAGAGTCAGAAACATCGATCAGAGAGAATCATCGATCAGCTGCCTCCTGCACACCCTTCACCAGGGATGTGCCCGCAACCATGGTACATGCCCCTGACTGGAATCGAACCCGGGACCCTTGAGTCCTCATGCCAACGCTCTATCCATTGAGCCAAACCGGTTTGGGCTATTGTTATTTTCCTAATAATAGACTTAAAAGAATGGAATATGGATTATGGCTGAGGGCTAATATGATACTCAGATAAATTATGTGTAGTGGGAAACAAGGAAATATCGATACAGCTAGAGGTCCAAAATGCAGAACATTTTAAAGATAATGCTACAAATTGATACATTAACAGGAATCTCAAATTGCACTTATTGCCTTTGAGGGGACATAAGTCCCAGTGTCAGTGCACCAGAGGACATTCCCAGGCACAGTTCTACAACAAGCTTCCCACAGTGCTCTTCTGTTGGACACTCCCCATGAGCGTCCCAGACTCTACCCAGGAGTCTGTATGACGACCTATGACAAACCTTCTCTTTGCTCTCCCTTCCTCTTGTCTTTTTACATTACTTTAACTTATACGCTTATATCGGTTAGAGAAATAGAGGGTGTCCCCAAAAATGTAAGCACACACTTTAAATAATTATAAAGGCAGTGTTTATTAGACTACGTTTCATTTGCAATGTTGAGCTATCAGCTGTTAACGTGTGTGTACATTTTGTGAGGACACCCTGTGTAAAGTGAATATCAGCAGCAACCAGAAGCCAGGAGAGAAGCATGGGGTGGAGTCTCTACAACAACGTGTTGATTTCAGACTTCTTGTCTCCAGAAATATGAGCAAATAAATGCCTGCTATTGTAAGTCATTAAGTAGGTGGCAATTTGCCATAGCAACCATAGGAAACAAATAAGACCCCAAGAAACACTGAGGCTATAAGTTAAATTTTGGGATGGGAGATTAATCGCTGAGTGGCTGTTTGGAGGTGTCTGAGAGAGCTCAGAAGACTGGAGCTTTCGTTTTCATTCTTTTTCCTAAGCAGTCGCTAGTGTACTAACTGGAAGAAGATAATACCTGTTAACTGAGGGATTACATTTATTATGCCTTCCGTATGGAATGCTGATACTTATTTTCTGAGTTAAATTTTCAACTATACTGTGAAGGCACAGAAACAAATAAGGTCAAACAGCCTTGGAAGAATTACACTGGGCAAATGTATTTTATTTCTAAGTAACATTGTTACCCATTAAGGAATGAAGGGGCTTACTCTGTAGTTGGCTGTGGATATCTTATAATAGCAAACGATGTGTATAAGGGTCCACTTTCCTTTATTTTGAGAGATTGTAAATGTTAGTAACATAGACAACAAAAAACTAAAATTTCCTTAAACAATAAAAGAAGTCTTAAAAGAAACACTGATATGTAAAAATACATATGTACACAAAGAGAAGGGAATGAAAATTCATCTGGGTGAATTTTGTTTTTATACTCTTTAAAAATATATATTTCTTAATACAAGTATTCTTTAGGTTTTTACAATGATTAAAGATAAATTTAATTGAAACAGCATTGCATGCTCATGTATATATCACTCATCGCATTGTTATTTAAAAACAAACAAAACAATAGCATTAAAAATGTTTAAAATGCCACCAAAATGTATAAGATGACAACCTATATTTTCTAAGAGACGCCCTGCCATTTTATTTTGTTACAGCAAAAGTCATCTGTATCGCTTTATGGTAGGAGAAAGGAAAAGTGGGCATTTAAAGATCTTGATTACTAAGTTTACGTTGGGAAATAACATTTTAAAGGTCAACCTTACAGAATGTCATTCTACGTGCCTTATATTCCATTGACCTTGGCTGATTAGGATGGATGGCACCTACTCAAAAGCACTCAGAGTTCCTGCTTTAGCAAAATGCACATGTTTTAAGAAATATTGCATGAAAGAAGCATTTGGTAAACAAGTTTAGAAAAATAATGTCAGGGCATGATCTATAGTGAGATGTAAAAAGAAAATATTGTATTACTGTGATGTGATCAAAAATTGAAATGAAAACTGCAACAGTGTTTATATACGGTGATTGCATTTTAAAGCGCATCTGGACTTCAATGCAGTTTGCAGATTGATAAACTGTGCAATTAACCAATATCCAATTTACTGGAGTAGCAAGTCAGGCAATCAGATAAGACTGGGTCAGAAATATGCAATTTATGGCTTTTAAGTATATTTCAGAGATTAAACCAGAGTTATTCCATTACTTGAAATTAAAAAAAGAAAAAAAACTCACATTTTATTCCTTCATTATTTTCTTTTTTTAAAATTACTCTGTATGTCTTTGACTCTTTCCATTACCAGCTTCAAGCAGCAGACATTTTTTTCAGTGGGATTTTGCATTTATGTGTTCCCGACTCTCTGATTTAAAATACCCACACCTGAGAATGTGAGGCAGCAGCTACTACGCCACAGCACCCTGAGCTGGGCACTGCTTCAGAAGAGCCACTCTTTTAAATGAGTATTAGCTCCACAGTGATCAGCATGTATGGAATAAGTGAATAGATTTTGCAATATTTTTTTAATTGTTCTTCTGGGCATTGGATGCTCGAGGCATCTCTTCTTTAGTAGTCTTGTATCTTATATAAAATACAAGAGGCCTAGTGCATGAAATTTGTGTATGGGGAGGGGGGACAGTCCCCTCAGACCAGCTTGCACCCTCTCCAATCAGGGACCCCTCAGGGATGTCGAACTGCCGGTTTAGGCCGGATCTGGGATCTGGGACCACTGGCTCCTAATTGCTTACCTGTCTGCCTGCCTTCCTAATCACTCCTAACTACACACACACACACACACACACACACACACACACACCCCGCTGGTCTGGTTGTTCCTTACAGCTCTCCCTGCCAGCCTGATCACCCCCAACTGCCTCCCCTGCCAGCCTGGTCACCCATGCAGTCTGCTGTTCGGTCATTTGGTCGCCCCTCACTAAACCCCTGCCAGCCTAGTGACCCCACACAGCCTGTTCAATCGTCTGCTCAGTTGGGATGGTTGCTTAGGCTTTTATTATTATAGATTATTGAATTCCTAACCTGTTATTGATTATGCTAAGTTCTAAGAATGCAAGGATGACTAAGTCCTCATTCTTATTCTCAAGACAAATCCACACAGTGGAAAAGCTAAACATTTAGAAGGATAACTTTCTACTGTCATGATGAAAAGGAGCCTCTCCCTATATAAGAGGAGAGCAACTGTGAGACATGTTGTGGGGGGCAAGTTTGGGTGAACAAGTCAGGAAAGAACGGGCTTTGGAAGTTGAAAGGGTATCCAGGGGGAAGAAAAAGAAAACACATATAGAATTAACACTACATAATTAACTTTCAAAAGCTAATTTTATTGTGTGCTTTTCTTGAAAAAAGTACTAAGTTCTTTTTTGTTTTGTTTTTTAATCCTCACTCAAAGATATTTTTCATTGATTTTAGAGAGAGGGAAAAAGAAAGATAGAGATGAGAGAAAGAGACAGAGAGAGAGAGAGAGAGAGAGAGAGAGAGAGAGAGAGAGAGAGAGAGAGAGATCCATTAATTGTCTTCCCCATGCCCCAACCGGGAACTGAACACACATAACCCAGGTATGTGCCCAGACCAAGAACCAATGCTTCGGTGTATGGAGCTATTCTCCAACCAACTGAGCCATACCTGCCAGGGCTACAGTGCCAAGTTCTTTAGACACTTTATTTTTAAACAATCCTGAACAACAGGTGCAATGTTTTTCACTCTGTGTTACATGGGAAGAATAAAAGCAGCTCAGTGTTAGTCAGAATGTTACGTGCAAGGCATAGAGTCGCATGACATGAGCTGGAGCTAGACAGGGAACTGTTTAAAGGGGAACTAATCTTTAGAGGTTTTTTTTGTTTTGTTTTGTTTTTTTTTGGCTCACAGATGATAAAATATTTATGCTAGGCTGTCATTGGAGAATTGCCATATTATCTGAACATTTGGTATCAGTTACTCTGGCCTCTTTGGGGAGGGTGGATGCAAGAGGCACGCAATGAAGGGCACGCATGTTTGGAAGGTAAACTGCCAAGAAGGATGCTGGGAGCCGGGGCCTGGAGGAGTGGGGGTAGGGCAGACAGGAGTCATCTTTACCTCCTCTGGTGACTCGGTAATGACCAGCTTCTTCCCCAACTCCACTTGCACGGAGGTGAAATAGTCACCATAAGGAATTTTTTTTAAGGGGGGTGGGGAGGGGGGAAACAACAACAAACTGGCAGCTTTGTGTGGAGATAAGGAGGTAACCATTTTTTAAAGTGACATTTCCCTCTTTAATCTCCTAAAAAATCAAATAATAAAATGCAAACAGCTTACAACACCTCCTGCATTGTGACATGGAGAAAGTGTTAGACGTTTTAGATTTCCAGTGTCGGTGGTCACCATGCCTGGGTGTGTAAAGGTATACTCCCCACTACTAGACTGGGGTGTCCCAGTTCAGCAATAACTGACAGAGGAACTACAGACAAAATAAGCAAGTCTAACTGTGCCATTACAGCAAAGGGTTCCCTTTCACAGACATTGCCCTGGAGTCTGACAGCAGCACGAATCCCAAGGCAGGACAGACAGGAAGCCAGCTATGTGGGTGGCAGGCAGAGATGGAAGACTCAAGCATGAGTCGTAGACCAAGCAAACCAAAAAGACCTAACTGTAACGTGAGAGAGGCTCTTAAGCTGGGAACTGTAGGTCTGACTTCCAGCTCTGACCAGTCTTGGTGAATTACTTCCTTATTGATTGGGACCCAGATTTTTCACTCATATAATGGGGACTGACTTGGTAATTTATAAAGTTTCTGCTTGTTCTGGCGATCACTGGAGGGCTTCCGTTTCCAATGGGTATCGAAGCAGCTACAGTGAAAGACAGAGTCAGGAGAATTTTGTAAAAATTCCCAGTGAAAGCATTGTCGGACTCCCTTCCCATGTATCCATGGAGGAATCCGTACATTCCCACTGAGCTGAAAACACCAGAGATGTCTCCCCAGAGCAGAGCAGAATAGGCCAGTGCAGGCCAGAGCGAAGCAGAGCTAACCAGGGTGACAGAGAGCCAGCTGGCAGAGTGGAGCAGGATAAGATGTCTAGCTGGAAAGGGGCTGCATTAGAGCTGTGCTGCTCTCCCAGATGCGCTGTCTCACAATCACACTGTTTTTCACTGATAAAAGTGAAAGACAGAAGTCAGGAGAAAATTACCAATTTCCAAATTGGAGGTTCCTGTTGGCCCTGAATGGGCTCTAATAACCAGCGGTTGACATATCAAATATGCAAACAAAGAGGAAAGAAGATAGAGAAATAAGAATCATTTTATCTACTATTTGGGGAGAAATATTTTTGAAAAGTAAAATTTTTCAAAAACTCAAAGCCTGCCGAAACTGGTTTGGCTCAGTGGTAGAGCATGGGTCTGCGGACTAAAAGGTCCCAAGTTTGATTCCGGTCAAGGGCATGTACATTGGTTGTGGGCACATCCCCAGTAGGGGGTGTGCAAGAGGCAGCTGGTCGATGTTTCTGGCTCATCGACATTTTTAGCTCTCTATCCCTCTCTCCTCCTCTCTGTAAAAAAATCAATAAAATATATTAAAAAAAAAAAAAAAAAAACTCAAAGCCTGAGGCTGGTGTGGTTCAGTGGTTGAGCATCGACCTATGAACTAGAAGGTCACAGTTTGATTCCAGGTCAGGGCACATGCCCAGGTTGT